CGAGACGGAGGCGAAGAAGGGACCGAGCGGGGGGAAAGCACAAGCTGAGAGTCGGGTCGTGGAACGTGTGCGGGTTCGCAAGGAGTGAGCGCAAGCGGTTGGAAATAGTGGACCAAGTAGAACAAAGCGATCTAGATGTAGTGGGGATCCAAGAGACGTGGGAATTGAAGGATGGGGACGTGGTAAGCAAACTAGGGAAATACCGATGGGTAGGGAAGGCAAGAAAGGGCTTAGACCCGAAGAAAAGGGGGGAGGGGGGAGTCGGATTCCTGGTCAAGGAACACTTGTTTGACGTGGTGGAAGTAGTGGTGAAAACGGAGTTCGAGAAAAGCCTATGGCTTAAGATACCTGGGGAGCGGGGTGAGAAAGTTTTGTTTCTAGGGAACGCACACGTCCCACCGTCGTCGAAGAAAGTCGCAAGGCGTAGAAGAATTTTGGACAAATTGGGGAAGATGTCCAGAGGTTCAGTAGGAAAGGAGAAATTGTCATGATGGGCGATTTCAACTCTAGAGTAGGGGAAGCTTCCAGTAGAGGACAGGCGATCGGGCAGCACCGAGAAGACACAGTGAATGACAACGGAGTGAGGATGCTTGAATTCTTGGGAAGCAACGAACTGATGGTGTTGAACGGTAGGAGGGAATGCGATAAGCCGGAGTTCACCAGGCAACGGGTAGCTTGCAATGAATACTCGATCCTCGACTACATCCTGGGAGAGAGGGGGAGCACACAGATCCCAGAGCTGCACGTGAGTGCGATGGATATAGGTTTCGACCGACCACTTCCTCATATGGGCAAGCATCGACCGATACAAGACAGATGGAGAGTAAGAAACAGAGGAAAGTATTCCGGTGGAAAGTAGAGCGTTTGGGAGACGAGGGGACACGGGATGAATTCCAGAAGGGACTGGCTGGTACAAGTAGTGTAGAACCCTTCAGGAAACTGCTGAGAAGCGTCGAAGACGGACAGGTAGACGTACAAGCAGCAGGGGGCAGGATGATTGAAGGGTGGGAGTCCATAGTGAACGCAACGGCAGAGAGAGTAGTGGGAAAGAAGGTGGTACGATGTGGGGTATCGGTTAAGTGGTGGGATGACGAGCTGAAAGAAGAAATACGGGAACGTAGAGAAGTCTTCAAGCAGTACCTGAGTGAGGCGTCTGAGGAGAGTTGGGAAAAGTACAGGGCCAAGAGAAAACAGGTGAAGGGACTAGTGAAAAAGAAGAAAAAGTGTATTTGGGACGAAGTAGTGCAGAAGGCCAACGGAGG